AAACAAAGTAGTTTCGCTTTCACAACAAAACACAGCATCACACACGGCGGCCTTGAGTGAGCGGAGGCAGGCTAGAGTGTGGAACGGCCGGTGGATTCGACGAAGGAGCGTCCGGCGGGCTTGCGGCAACCACATGTGACGACCCCGGGCTGGACTCCGCTTCGTCCACGGTGAAAGCCGATCCGTCGATCCACAGCGCGAAGTTGATGTATTTCCTCAGCGACCAGCACGGATCAGCTCTAGGCATGACGAAGCGGATATCGTCCTCTTTTGGAAGGCCAAACAAAGTAGTTTCGCTTTCACAACACACAGCGTCTTCACGACATGGCGGCAGCAACAATACTACAGCGAGAATAAAAGTTACGCCTTCTTTCTTTGCGTGAACATTTGGGCGGCGTTATGCAAATCTTCCCACATCGTGACATAGACATGTGGGGGCGTGTTAGAACGAGCCTTTTTAGGAAGGCGTGGTTGACTCTTTTATAAAGAATATCTCTTTGGATTTGAGACTTTAGTCTTTGCAACTTTACAGATCTTCTTTATGCACCAAGAGCTTGTAACACTCCAAAGAGAAAGGAAAAATTGAAATCGCATCATATGACCCCTTTAAAATAGTTTTTTTTTTTCTTAAAATTCAAATTGTTAATTTTTTAAATGTAGTAATATTTCTGCTTTTACTGTATTTTTGATCAAATAAATCCAGCCTTGGTAAGCATATGAGACAACTTTCAAAAACAATTTTTTTTTTTACAGATGCCAAACTTTTGCATGGTTGAATATTACAAAAAACAACTCAACTAACTAGTTAAGGTAAATTATTTTTATTTTATTTTTAAGTATATATTATATATATAATTGAAAAACATTCTGCAGTAATCTACCTCTTTGCAAAATGCAGTACATGAAGAAATACATCACTTACATAGGGCGAGGTGTCAAGGCTTTCTGTGTTCACCACCACTGGTGCTGGGCTTGCCTGCAAAAGAAACATTCAGTTAATACTTGAGCTGAAACGAATCAAGACCCATAATCGTGCACCTTGCTTCTTGTCCCTAACCTACTGAGAATGAAATGGCAAAATAAACAGTTAACTATTTAAAAAAATAAGAAAAAGATCCAATAATAAAGCATCACTTACTCTTGGCATGCTGATACAGTATTACTTTGGCATTTGCAAGAGATTAATAGCACAGCCTGTGTCCATACACAGCATAACATACTGCAGAATATGCAATATAGTGGCATAACAAACCAGCGCAGACCTAATCCTTCTGCTAACATGTATCACATGCTTCACTTGCACAATTGCTTTTGAGGTACAAGTGCGCATCAGCGATATAACGTGGCATTCTCTCTGTAATCTCTGTAAGTCAAGAGGACCATCGCTGAGGTGGGTGGAGTGAAAACATGAGATGAAAAAAAACCTGTGACGTGGGTGCAGGGATGGAAGTGGTCTCGGCTGGGACGGGTGAGATAGGGATCACAGGGATTATGGGAGCAGAGGGAGCAATGACATCTGCCTGCTAAACAATGACAGTGGAGGTCAAAGGTCAGAGCAGATGACACACAGCATTAATGATTTTTCACGAAATTTCCTAATTTAATCAGATATTGAACAGAATTAAGAACAGAGAGGGAGGGAATAACAAAAGATGTGGTAATGAAAACAATAACATTGGTCCATAAATTAAGACTAGACTCTGTAATTCCCTTTTATTAGCAAAGGACTCTACAAACATGCAATGAAAATGATTATGTAAAGGGTGAAAAAAAGAAATGAAAGAAAAGTTCATAATGAAAAGACCTTATAAACAACCTTTAAACATAGTTTAATTATATAATAAATTATTATTCTGTCATTATTTACTCACTCTAATATTGCTCCAATCCCGCATGTTTTTTTCTCTCTCGGTGAATCACAAAAGCACAGTTTTGAAGGATTGTGACTATTGATTAACCTTCTTTCATTCTCCAAAAAAACAAACAAAAAAAAACAAAACAAAGCATGCCACTATGAACTGTTATTCAAAACTACTTGGAAAAACGTTCATAATTCCACTTTTATGGTCCACAAGCAAAAAATAACAGCACAAAGGTTTGGAATGACATGATGGTAAGTAAATAATTATTTTTTTAAATAATGTATTTTGGGGTGAAATACTCAAAATAAAATGCATTTTACTATAGAGTGTTAAAAAGTGTAAATTGTGACATAGAATCTCCATCAAGGTAAATGTCAGGATGTGTGCCGTTTTGTGACTCACTTGAAGGACAAACCTTTCTTTAGACTTAAGTTAACTATGAAAAAAAAAATGGCCACAGTGTTTTAAGATTAAACAGAGCTAAAAATAAAACTCAAGTCCAGCAATCGACATCCTGTTGTGCAGGGCTGTGAACGATTAGCTTTTCCTTTTTGAAGATGAAATTAGCTGTCACGATGTCAATCAGTGCTTTGTAAGGTTTAGTGAGTTTGTCATCTTCTTTTCTGCAGGTTGAAAATGTCTGCCAGAGAGACTTCGGACTACACTGCACCTGAACAAAATAGTCTGCATCATAACAACTGCTGAGCAAAACTCAAGCTCTCTGTGGCTAAGTTTGGAAAATAAAAGATAAGAGACACAATAATATGCTAATAAGTTAATAATATCTCACAATTCCTTTCACAAAAGAATGACGCAAAACACAGAAACAGTCCACAACAGTGACACTTTTCTACAGTTGTGATTCCAGATGAGCCCCACACATGACAAAATACATATTGTGGTCACAAATTAAGACTTATTCATTTGTGGCCATGGGTTATTAATTTGTTCCCTCGTTTTAGTTCAATTTTGGCCATGTTGTACTAATTCTTTCCCTCCTTTTAGGCCACAATTTAACTAAATTAAAGCTAATATATTAATTAAATCAAAATAAACAATAAACAACAAACAAATTCTTAATTCTAGGCCACAATATATTGTGCTTTTCCCCCTGCATGTCATGTGCAGGTCTCCAGAACAGAACAGAGGTATATTTCCCATTCATTTTCCTCAATCACAAATTGTAAGCCTTGAACCAAACTAACCAGCTGCAAAAAGAGTTACAGAAAATGCATTACAGATACTAATTAGCCAATAGTCTGTTGGTTTTATTTTGACATAGCCGGCAATGCAGCTAGCTAATGTTAGCTAGCATTACCTAGCCTCTGTTAAAGGTGGGGTAAGCGATTTTTCAAAAATGCTTTAGAAAACTGATTCGGGCCGAATAGCAAAACAAACTTGTAGCCAATCAGCAGTAAGGGGCGTGTCTACTCATGATGTGGACGAGAGAAAGTTCAGTGCACAGGACAGACATTAGCGAGCCGAGCGACAGAAAGATAGAGATGGCGGATAAAAAACAAAAACAAAAGAAGGCTTAAGGCAATAAGGCGGACCCGTGTAAATATCGAATCAGCTTTCCAGCGCTGGAGAGAACTCAAGGAGTGGAAGTCCTGCGATCGGACGCCGAGGTTGCTTTGTTTCTTCTCGATAGGTGAGTAACACCGTGTCTGCACTGCAACAGCTAAAGTCTGTCTAGTACACTGGACGCGACAAAGCGACCGTTGAAAATCATTTGAAATTTGTGTCAATACATCATAAATAGAACGCAGCAGCAGTTTTCTGTTGGGGATTTGTCATGTAACGCCGCGCCGCATTCAGTGTAGACCATAGGGTAGGGGCGTGTTTGTTTTGGTGATTTCAAATGTCAACATTGGCTACCAGAAATCGCTTACACCACCTTTAACTTTCAAAACCTTTTGTCTCAAGAGTTCCATGATATTTCCATGGTCTAAACAACTCTGACAGATCTCAAAATTGTGGCTAATCATTTCAAAATTATGGCTAATCATCCATTCAGAAATGTATTTGTAATAGAGTGTAGCCTACATGATGTGCACTGTTGTGGTGAGGATCTGACGCAAGCAGATATCTATGAGAGTTCAGCAGATTCCAGCTCTACAGGAGCAAAAGCTAATGTTACCATGCTGTCAGTGAGGAGACATCCACTGAATCTGGTCCTCTACACAGACCGTCTGTGTCAGCGTTCCCAAACAAAAGTGATCTGATCCACAGCCGCTTGTCCAAGCACCAACCACACAGCCAGAGACGACGGATATTCAGTTACAACAGTCCAGTTCACTCAGTCAACAACAGACACATCACTGCAACTACTAATTAGAAAGGGTTTCCGTTTCACTAACCCTCACTCTCAGGGTTATGGCAGAGACTTGAGACTATGGAACATACTACGGAGCTACATTTGAATGACAGCACAGAAGACATCACCAATTCAACCACACTGTTTTGCCCTGCCTAAACTGACCAGTGTAACTTACATAAGAGTCCATACACTGCATGCTATTATGGTAGTGGTACAGTAGTCATGGCCTGTGATCTCTGAGTTAAAATTAGAATCAATCATTAGCATTGATCAGATAGACTGGTTTCAGCCTAAAGCTCCCACCAATATCTCAATATTCCTTTTCAATTGTATTAAAGATATTAAACATGTTCACTACTTAGCAAATGTGTCAATAATATGACCAAAATAGATCATCTTTTGACACAGCTTCTTAAAAAATACTACAGTTTGGACTGTAAATGAAATTCTTGCGGTTTGGCAGTTAAAAACAATTAAAAGCATACACACACCACTGTTCAAATGTTTTGAAATTGTCGGTTATATTTTTAAAATGTTTTTTTTTTTAAAGAAATCTCTTATGCTCACCACGGCTGCATTTATTTGATAAAAACAAAGCAATAACAGTAATATTGTGACATAATGTGATGATTTGGCTGATTTGGTGCTCAAGAAATATTTCCTATTATTAACAATGTTGAAATACAGTTAATATTCAGTTAATATCTTTGTGATAACTATATATAACTATAACTATATATAACTATAGAAATTGAAAAGTTTTAAAGCATAGCATTTATTTGAAATGGAAATCTTTTGTAACACTATGATCTAAACTACCAAAATTTTCAATGGGAGTGAATACATATTTATTTGTTTATTTATTCTTATGTCTGTCAGTTATTTTTAATACACAACACATGACGCTGATTTACATTATATCGTTTTCTCCCATATTATATTTGCGAGGCCCAGGCAACCATAATGACAACGTCCAAATCTTGAGAAACAACCATATAATCATCAAAACAATATAATCGACAATTCACAAGTAGCATTAGCTGAAATTAAATTCCTCATACCTGAACTTCCTCCCACAGTGTCTTACCATCCCTCATCTCTTAATAAGACTCAGTCCCACATACCTTCTCCAGTGAAAATGTGCCCCAAGAATTGGCAAGCCACAAGGCACTGGAAGAAGCTCTGACTTTAGCTGTGCTTTTGGTGGGGCTCTTTTTCACACTGTCCCTCAGGTTGGTGAACTTTCCTCTGCTCTTGGTGGAGACTGGGAGGGTGCAGGAGCTGTACTGCGGAACCCTTCGGGACTCCAGAGAAGTCTGCTGGAAGTTGGGAAGGGTGAGAGAGGTGAGGCGGCGGCTGCTTGTGCAGGTGATGGTGGAAATGGTGATGGAATTGCGGTTGTTGCACCAACTGTCTCGGCATTCGGGTCAGCGTACTGTACACGTGTCCGACTCTCTGTTGCATTCTGGGATGGCTGCAGTTGGCCACCTCTGCCACCCCAGTCCGACAGTCCACATAAGCGCCACAGCAGTATTCATGGTTGTTGCAATAGGTGGTCATTGTTTTCCAGGCAGAGGTGGAGGGCAGGTGAAATGATGGGGGATGCAGCCTGAAGAGTGATGCGCTTACTTTGCTGAGCAATCGGGAAGGAGAGAGGACACACCGTGGTTGTAAATCTGGTCTTTTTCCCCGGCTCCACTCTTCTGCCAACCTCTCTCACTGTCTATCTCTCTTTCTGCCTCACTCGCTCTCATCCCCCCGTACTTGCTCGCCAATTAATGAGCTCCAATGGGCACTGCACATGACAGCACACAGACTCTTCTGCAGGCATGAATAATCAATGCTCCATTCTTGATTTCAGCATTGGTGTCCGGATGGTCTGCAAGTCGCTCTTCAGACAACGGCAGATTTGCACTCTACATTTGAGATTCATGAGGCTTTTTGTAGTCTGATTCGCTTTTCAAAGCATTAACACGGGTCACAAAGTGAGAGGTCACAGCGGATAAACGTAATCTCTATTAGATGCTTAGCATAAGGGCGGGCGAACGGGCCGGCGTGGTGTATCAGAGCATATGATGATTGAGCGGAGCCTTGCTTTGACCTTATTTTACAACTACTATTCACAACTAATCTTAATTTGTACCTGCACTGTAAGATCTTTTACATAGTCCTGTGCTATTTAAATGTGAGCAATTCAGTGCTGACAGCTGGATGGTGGTCGTTTATTTAAGCCTATGGGGTTTCGATAGAACGTGCCATTAAACTTGCTGTAGGTTATATTTGGTTTATATGAAAGGGTAATCGCTTGAAATCACAGTCAACCCATATGCATATTGTTTAA